GGTCGTGGCCACCACTTCGATCCACGCCCGGGCACTGCTCGCTTGCCTGGCTAGAGTCAAAACCTCCGGGCTGCCGGCGACTTTCTTGATTGGGGCCGAGAGGAAAGCCTGACACAAGACCCGCCTACAATCCCGAGCCGGTGTTAACTGAACCTTGGCTCAGCTAATGCGCGGGATCAACTTAAAGAGTAACTGGAGCCAGTCATAAAAGGAGCAGCATTTCCTTTTCTTATGCGTGGTGGAATTGCCACGAGGGTGGTGTCCCTGGGATGTGCTTCCAGACGGCATGACCGCAGGGGTCCCTACTAGAGTCCAGGGTGACAGTGATTGCAGCTGGAAGCCTAATGTCTGCGTTAAGTTGTGAAGAATTTCTGTTAGAAGAGAAAGGAGATTCCACCAAAGCAGAACTAGATACAAAGACTGACTTTCTTTCTTTCTTTCTTTCTTTCTTTCTTTCTTTCTTTCTTTCTTTCTTCTCTGTCAAGTCAGTTTGAGGACACTGGGAATTCAACATCTCATGTGGTGCTATATCTCCCTCCATTTGGGTAACTGGTGTAACAAACTCCTAGTTCTCCACTCAGAAGGCAGGTGTGATGCCCGATGGTTCAAGGCATGGTTCTTGAACAATCTGACATACAGAAGCAGGAAACTGACTAGCCCAGTTTTCTGTACTGTAAAACACACACAGGACTCTGAGACCTCATTTAAAGTTTTTGCTGTGCTCTTTTAGAAAGTGCCCCCCCCCCAACTTTTAGGATTAGTAGGTGTTACTTCTCTGAGTAGCCTTTTCAACTCCAAAAGCAGAGCTGACAGGACTAAACATTCTCTGAGACCCCCTCGGATTCTTTGATTCAAATGGACACATCAGTGACTATTTAAATTGGATTTTAACGACCTTGTGCTTGTCTGTCTGTAAAGTGTCTTAGAGACAGTTATTTCTAAGTAAACTTGAAGTACTTCTCTCGCATCCTGTCCATTTTTGAGCCACCCACTCTTTACCTTATGCTTCTAGCAACTTTCTAGGCCTTTCTCTTAGAGAGGGGATGAGTTTGTTCTGGACTGTGCAGGTATCCAGGTGAGAGGATACAGCCTGGGGAAGTGATTGGCTCCTCCCTCAGGCGTGGCATTTTCTTAATCACTCTTGATTTCTTTCTTGGAACACTTTGCAGACGGAGGCTCTGCGTTCAGGTTCTGTATTCTTGGAGCCACTGCAATGTTCCTGGCCCCAGTCAGGAACCTTGAAGAGCTAGGAGAAGACCCTGTGGGCTCCTGCTCAGGCACTGTAGTTCTGTACCATAGGCCACAATGAATTTCTAGGCTAAGACCTGAGTGTAACATGATGTGTGATGAGAGCGAAATACTCAGTATCACTGAAGTAGAGCTGAGCGGGAGAGTGACTGATTAATATCTGTATTGAGAAGTGGGAGTCGAGTGGAGGGAAGGAGTGGCCAGGGAGAATTTTTTTTCACTTTCTTTGAAGCAGCATATTTTTAGCTCAGCCCTCCACTCTCGCTTTTTTTTTTTTTTTTTGTGGTGCCCAAGAATCTCCCCTTGTGCTTCCTAAGAACATGTCTGCAGGGCAGAGCGGCATGGATGTGCTAAGTCAAATTCAGGACCCAGGCATTCACCAAGGATATGCCTCTGACTCCCTTCCTCCCCCACTCCCTCCCTCCTTTGCTTCCCCCCCATCCTCTCTTTCTCTTTCCTTCCCTTCTTGCTCTATTCTAACATGGCCTTAATCTCTAACATAGCTGGTAAAAGACAATGTAGTTGGATAAGTGCGGAGTCACTAATATAATTGCCATGTGTGGGAAACAATGGTTTCCATAGTAACAGCCTCATCAGATCAGCTCAGGTGCCACCCCAGTAGCAAATTGAGCATGCACTGAGACAACTAAGCACTTGGACTGACCCACAGATGGGTCCCTCTTCCTGCCTGTCTCTTACCAGCCTAAGTCAGTGGCTGAGGGGTGATAGAGTTTTGGGGAATTATATTAATGGTGAGATATCCTTGAGGGACTGCAAACATAGGCAATATAAAAGTTCATATTAGGATGCCAAATAGAAGGAAGTCTTCAGGAACATGTTATAAGATTTGTGACTTCATATCTGACATAATAGTGAAACCATAAGGTAACACAGAGTTGCACTATTTTTCCTTTCCAACTTGAATTGAAAAGTTCTTTCCTTTAAAAGTCTCCAATGCAAATTTGCTTGAGAATGCATTAATTTTGTGCTACTTTTCTCTATAAGCAACAGAATTAACAGGTTGTAGGAAATGAAAGCTGTCAGCGAGCCATACATATAATCTGACAGATGATCTGTAGAGTGAATAGACTTTTTCTGTTTTCTTTTTCATGGAAATATACAAAGTCAGCCTTAATAATTTCAGAGAATTTTCTTGGTCATTTCAAAACCACTAACAATACCAGAGTCACAAAATTGCATAATCCCAGCAAAAGTAGACTAAAGTGAATGATATATCTGGAACAGCACTGCAATTTTCTTAGATAAAAATGTGACCCTAGACCTTCACTTTTAAAAGCTTGATAATCAGTCATGTTAAAATAAGATCGGTAGGGAGGAGGTATGAGTTATTTGAGGTGGGGAGATGTGGGAACAAGTGAAATTGGTTTTACATTTTCTAAGACACTTTCTAAAAATAAAAGAACTTCTTTGGGCTCTGGAAGCAAAATTAGATTAAAAATATGCAATGTTCTTTTTCACTAACTAATCAAGTTAACATTTTCTGATTAGGAAGGGAAAAGGAGGCCTGAATCTTCAAATAGGATGAGGTAGGGGCTATCCTTGGTAGATGGATAGATGGATGTGGTGCACTTGTACTATATGAAAATGAAAAGAACTTGAAAGACCAGTAGTTTTGCATAGATTGTTATTTGAGTAAATGATCTCAGAGTGTAACATAACTCACTTCATTCTGCTAGGTAAAAACCAGTGCACCACTGAGACCATTGAGGCAAGCAAGTTTGAAGCAAAGAGTGATAACTTTATTGAAGACCCAATGTGGGACAAGGGCAAAAAGACCATTGGCTCCGAGTGAGGGGGGGGTCTAGATGGTGGGGGAGGTTTTATTGAGAGGGAGATCTTACTGAGAGAGGTAAAAATTAGGGGGCTTTCCAGGACAGAGGGGTGCTGGAATGGGTATAGGACGCCATCAGTGCTTTTGGGCACTGAGACATGGGTACAGAATGTCTCCTGTGACTTCCTTTTACCTGGAACCCAGGGTGCTCAGGGCTTCCTGCAGGCAAGGTGTGAAGCATGGAGAGGTTTTTCTATTGTTTGTGTGGGTGACCCAGCCTGGGGACCTAATAATTTGTAATCACTATAATCATGAAAAAAAAATGCCTTGTAGGTTTTAGGTAGTAAAAGTGTGTGTGTGTGTGTGTGTGTGTGTGTGTGTGTGTGTGTGTGTGTGTGTCTGTTCAACTTGTTACAAACAATGGATGACTGGCAAGCAATTCTGGGGAAGACAGAAGCTGTCCCGTTCTTCTGTTGATGGATGATTTGAGAACAGAAGCAAATTTTCACCCAACACCTCTCTTTGCAAACTAAATTGTTTCCAAATAGAAGTGTTTGTGAACTGAGGCATGTATTACTGCATTGTGTAAGGAATTTTGGAGAATATTTATTGAAAAGGAAAATATTGTCCTGGCCAGCTAATTATCTGAGCTTGATTCAGATGTCTATACTTTCACTGCTACTATGTCATTCCTATGTTTTTTTCTTGGCCTATCTTGTGCAATGTCTTTTTGAAATTATAATATTTCAAATTTGGGGTTGTGATAAAAGAATAAATTTGGATAAAGAAATTAGAGTTGTTTTTGGTGACCACATTTATTCTCCTTCTAAGTGTTTTGAATGACAAATCTATGTTACTACTTTTTAAATAATAAATAAGGTTTTTTCACTTTTTAAAAAATTGATGAGTAACAGATAATTTCCTATCATGCAGTTTCCCTGTGACTTGGTAGTGTGAAACTTGGTATTGTAAGAGTCTGATTGTGTTTGCAATGTTACTCACTTCAAGGGCCCTCTGTGATACAATATGAATTGTCTACAACCACCCATGAAAGTTTATCAACATTTAGGGTTCTTATCCATAGTTTTAAGAGCTGGGTTCTGTTTCTGTCCTTACTTGGTTTGAAATTAGCTGTAAAGAACCAAACTGGACTCTTCATACAACCAGCTTTGCTGAAGCTTTTAAATTTTGACTTTGTCGTAAGATTCTTGTGACTTAAATAGAAAAAGAAATATCTGGGGGAAGTATTAGCTAGGACTCATCTACTGCACAGGTTTCTGAACAGTCTACTAATGATTTCTCTGAATATTTTATCAGTGTAAAGAATATTGTTTCCATGGAGTGGAAAAAACTCCATGTAAAATCTTCCTCATCCTTCCAATTTTTTTTGCTAATATTTAAATTTTTTTCTAGTGAAAATGAAATAATATTCCTTTGAAAAAGCCTTAACGTTATATTTGGGGAAAACATGTTATGTAATCAGATTGAAAAGGAGTGACATAAGAACACTACAGCATATGAGAGCAACGACCCAGTTTTGCCTGGGAGAATGGGATTTGAACTGGAATCAGGAGACCTGGATTCTGGTCTTCTCTGTCTTTTTCACCTTGATCAAGTCGCTTAAGTTCATGTCTTCTGAAAAGACTGAATTAATGAAGGCATCCCCAAACAGCAGTTATGAAACTGTAGGTGAACGCGTACCTACCTTGAATGGGAGATTGCTGGGCAGGCTGGAGGACAGCAGATGGATCACTGTTGCTTTACTGTCAAAGCTGTCTCCTCCACTTTGCCGCTATGAGTGTATCTATCCTTTTTTTGCAATCAGCATTCATTTTTTTTTAAAACACTGTAGAAACAAACAGAGCATTGGCAGCAGGGTACTTGTGAATCCTAAAATATTCATTCTAGTAAATAAAAGCAAATTAGCCACCAATCCAATATTTCCTTTTCCACTAGGAGGAAAAGATTATACGGATATCGAAAGTAAATTTGCCCGAAGGACCCCCGAGAACACAGTTGAGGACACCTGTCACCTCATTCCTGGAGTAACAGAATCTGTGGCCAACTGCCACTTCAACCACAGCAGCAAAACCTTCATGGTGATCCATGGCTGGACGGTAAGTTATCTCTGCAGGAAAGCATGGATTGGGGTCCACCAGGTTCTAACTGTTGGTACCCAGTGGTGGGTCAAAAACCCATATTTCTACTTGCTCTCTGATGGCTTTGCTTGACATTTGAACCAAGATAATTTGGGCCCAGGGTAGAATCTAATTTGCATGTTCATGAATACCTCCCTGGGACAGTACATGCAGTGATTTTGACACAGCAGCCTTCTTGTGAAGTGAGAAAGGAGGGTGCAGAAAGGAGCAGTGGGAGAAAGGAGGTTAGCTGCAGAGCAAAACTTAGGGTACACCTGTGAGAAGTGGGTGCAAAGCACTGTGGCCCCAGTCACCTAGCATAGAACCAAAAATCCGTTCCTGAAGAAGGTGACCTGGGAGAGTGCGCAGAGGCCAGAGCGTGAGTTTTGGTGCTGCTTGACCATTCACCAGTTCTGAGACACGTCTCGTTCACTTCTCATCTGTGAGTCTTGGTTTGCTCACCTTTTGCACAAAGAGCATGGACTAGACTTCCCTAAGGTCCCTCACTTCCAGTGGCCTCCAGTTTAAACTTTAGGGAGGGAAGAGGCCAAGGAACTGTCATGCAAGGGGTTTGGAAAATGCAAGCTGTGGTTAAATACACTTGTTTGAAATATTTACAAAGTACTTTTCTCCAAGTATGCCAGACAGTCACTTTACATGATGTAGTTCTTCTTTAAATACTTTAGTTGGCTTTTAAACATTTTTTATCCCTAAAGAGCAGATTGTATTGGTTATTAAAAAAGAATTTATAGCCAGGTGTGGCAGTGCACACCTGTAATCCCAGCTACTTGGGAGGCTGAGGCATGAGGAGGTTCATAAATTTGAGGTCAATCTGGGCAATTTAGTAAGATCTTGTGTCAAAATTAAATTTTAATAAGAGAGCTGGGGATGTAGCTCAGGGTAGAACATTTGCTGAGCATGCATGAGGTTTAATCCTCAGTATGACAAGAAAAGGAAAGGAAAAAAGCTTATAAAACAGATTAATAAAATATTACATCAAACTTTGTGAATATTACAGTAGATACTAAATTTGAATGAGAATTAACTAAGATATACACAGACACAGACACACACAGACACACACAGACACACACACATATTTCTGACATATTTTCCTATAAAATTGAAGTGTCTTTGTTATTGACATTGTAGAAGAGTTGCTGTAATTTTTGTGGAGATAAAGGCTATTTATAAAAGCTGTTAGTAAAATCCACGCAGATGCTTATTTTAAAAAAAATAGAACACTTTACTGGAGTTAGCATAATAAATTACATATCTTATGATAAAATTTTAAACTCAGCATTAAACTTTTTGTATTTTAAGAGGTATAAGCAGAACAGAGGAATCTTTGATGCTTTTAGACTCATTGTGGTTGTATATGCAATGTGGTGTGTAACGCTTTTCAAAAAAGTATCAGCTTAAATATACACATTTCTGCAGTAGGAATAAACTCAGTATTCCTAGGAATCTCAGTCTTATCCCTCAGGGAATTTTGTATTAGAAATATCTGAAAAAGTTTTCTTGTCACACTAAGATGACACAGGACACATGGTTCCAGTTGCTATCAAAGGTCCTGTGGTTCCATTGAGGCCACTTAGGTTCTTCACATTCTGAGTCCCAATATTTCGAGTAGCTAGATGCTGGCTAGGCTCAGAGACCAGGCTGTCAGCCAGGAGACAGTTTCCCTATCACCCAGAGCTGTTTGGTCTGTGATGATAACAGCCAGACAAGCTGATCTGGGCCTTATCTCACTGAGTAAACTCCCCGGTGGGAGCTGTTGCCCTGCTTGGTACAGGAGACTAGGAGGGTTTTGAGTCAGTGGCATGTCTGCCAGTACAATCAGCAATTTCTAAAAGTGCTAATGATCTGATTAACTTCAGAAGAAGCATCTGGAAAATAAGATTTTTTCTAAGTTGAGGAGAATAGGTTCTTGGACTTATCATGTCCTTTGCTTGGAGTTACTTTTATCTGTGTTTTGTGTTGAATCAGGGAGAGAGAGAGAGAGACAAAGAGACAGAGAGAGAGAGAGAGAGAGAGAGAGAGAGAGAGAGAGAGAGACAGAAAGAGAGACAGAGAGAGACAAAGAGACAGAGAGAGAAAGAGAGAGAGAGAGACAGAAAGAGAGACAGAGAGAGACAAAGAGACAGAGAGAGAGAGACAGAGAGGATTACATCAGTTGCTAACTAATTAATAAAAATATCATCTCCTAGAGGAATAAATCAGATTACTTGCTCTTTTACCTACTTCCTAAATTGGAAACATTGATAATGTAAAAAGACATTTAACACAGAGGCCTGGAGCAAACAAGATTTTCCTGCCTTATCTGAGATAAACTAGGGATATTCAAGGGCACAAACTGAGAAAAGTGAGGACACTCTCCAGTGCACCAAAGGAGACCCCAAACAGTGCTGTGCATGCCTATTGTGTATCCTAGAATGCACATCAGACACAGCTAGAAGGGGCTTGGCGGCTCACTTGGATTTACTTGCTCTAAGTACAGGTTCTCTGTGAAATGAGAGGTCCTCAGGTGGCTGAAACAGTGTAGTTAACACTGAATTCTGTAGGAATGACCTCATCCTTCTGGATCTGGAAATGCACCCACAATGGCTGGGCAGCACCTCAGCCAGGAAAAGGGCCAAGAGAGCAGAGCAGGACCATTTTCTCAAGCCCCCCCTCACCGCCCCACCCCGTGGGTGTCCAGCTGGTTCCTGCAAAGACCTACTCTGCACTTAGACCTGCAGCAATTTCCCTGAGACTGTTCAAAGGAGGCTTAAATAAATTCTTAGTGGACTCACATCCGTTTTATACTTTTTCTTCTTTGTTTTCTCTCCAAGCTCAAAACAGCTGTAGAGCTGACAGTTTTCACTGCTGGTAGGTAGTTAGGAACCACAAAGGTCAAGAGTAAAAACTGATGTGGAGGAGGGGACCTTCTGAGACCACCCTTCGTTTATTGGTGGCCTGGGAAGCTTAAAGTAGTTTACAGAAAGAATTAACAGAAACCACGGGACTGGACTCACCGGTACCGTCCGATATCCCCACCGCGAGGCACAGAGAACTGGGGAAATGGGGTGCAATTATTTAGTGTTGAAGAGTAAAGCAGAGCTAATGTTTTGGTAGTTGGAGTCTAGTAAACAGATGAGAAAGAAAAAAGCATAAATGTGAAAGAACCTGCCCTATGAGATTAAGGCTCCAAATGAAGTTCCTTAGTTTGAGAATGTAAGCCATTTATTTTTCCATTGGACTTACAGTAAGTATAACGTGGTTTTTACAAGTCTTTCATTTAAAACGACCTTAAACATGAACTTTAGAATCTTCTTTGTCCATTTTAGTACATAATTGAGTGACCATTACTGTAGCTACTCTTCATAGGAAAAAATATGATTTTTTTTTTGTCCTTTTGAGACAGGGTCTTGCTATGCAGTTTAGGCTGACCTTGAGCTCATTTTGTAGCCCTGGCTGGTTTCAAATTCGAGAGGATCCTCCTGCTTCCTCCAGAGTGCTGGGATTGCAGGCGTACATCACCATACCTGACTTAAAAAAAAATTCTTTATAAAAAATGTGTTTATAGTTCTCAAAATAGGTATGCTGGGAAACACAAGCCTAACTGAAAGCAAGTAAGCTAAATTTCTTTTAAAATACCCTGTAATTAAAAAAAAATCCTGCAATTCTGATATAAAATTTTGATTTATTCAGAGTGATCTTGCCTTTTAATAGTAGGAATTATTGAAGTTTTATTGAATTTTTCTAAAACAAACAAACAACAAAAAGCCACTATTAAAATCGGAAGTGTAAGAAACCCCAGGGTGCAGTGCCTGAGCTCAACACCCCACCACCCACCAGCGCTCTCAGATTTGCCTGTGGAGGAGCAGGCCCAGCCTGAGCACTTCCTCGGCTGAGCAAGTGAGGAGTCCTACGGTTCACACTCGTTATTTCGTGTAGGTGCACTGAGGTTGTATCTGTATCGCACTGTAGGTGGGTCTTCTACGAAATTCATATCCATCTCTTTAGGTGACAGGGATGTATGAGAGCTGGGTGCCGAAACTTGTGGCTGCTCTGTACAAGAGGGAACCAGACTCCAATGTCATTGTGGTGGACTGGCTGCGGAGGGCCCAGCACCATTACCCAGAGTCTGCGGACTACACCAAGCTGGTTGGAGAAGATGTAGCCAGGTTTATCAACTGGATGGAGGTAAGACCCGGAAAGGGAGCCTCAAGTGTCCAAAAGAGTTCTCAACTGAAGATAGAAAATGGCAGGTCTGAGGCTGGGGATTTAGCTCAGCGGCATAAGTGCCTGCCTTGCAAGCAGGCAGTCGTGAGTTTGAGTTTGATCCCCGGTACCAATAAAAAGGAAAAAGACAAAAAAGAAAATGGCAGATCTCTCTCCCTTTTTGCCTTAGATGTAGATCTTTTCTGTGACGTTTCAAATATTCAGGATGAGCATAGACATCATCATCATCATCGTCATCATCATCATCATTATTATTATTATTTTAGCCCAAAGCAGCATTATGGTAAGAATGAGAAGACTTCAGTGCCAATACATAGTGCTGCCTTGCTCTGCCCTTGGGATTTCCAGTGAATAGATCTGCTGTGACCAAGAACTAAGTGGGCAGAGCAAACAAAAGCTTCTTGTTTCAGAACAGAGGCAAGATGACATGTTCAGCTAAGTACTTCCCTACCCGTTGGCTGGCACACGGAAATTGTATCCCACCTTTGCCTCCTGTTGGAATATCTCTGATTGAAATATCAGCAGTGATTATTTCCCAATTGGATTGAGAATCCAGTTCTTTGTTTAGACATATACGGTCCAGCCTTGTGGATTCGGGAGCGATGGGACTGGCTGGGGAGGTGTGGAGCCTGTGAGGTGGTTACTCAGAGCTCTGGGTCAGCTGCAGGATTTAACCACTTTCTGAAGCTGGCCCACTTTTGCCGACCATGATCTGAAAAGTACCTTGGAAACGTTACTTAGAGTTGGAAGGAAGCTAATACTTTGACAGGGCCAAATTGCTTAAGCCAGATCACTTAAGCCAGATCACTGCAGGTAAAAATAGTGAGCCATCATTACTGGGAAAACTATAAAAAGTTAAAAGTTATTTTCTTGTTAATCAGATGAGTGAACATGGGAAAAATTAGGTCACATTCTTACCTGTTGAATGAGGGGCCTGGACCATAGGCATCCTTGAGCTCTTCCCACTATCAAATTTTCTGATTATAAGTCATTAGTTGAATCACTTCAAAGAATAAAGTGTTGCAAGGTATTTAGACTAGGGGATATTAGGTTAAAGTTACTATAGATACATATGTATACATATACTATCTATATACATATGCATATTGATCTATTGCATGTATATTTATATGTGCATATAATATAATTTCAGATGGGTGGAAAAATTTAAATCTGTCGTTAGAGAAAGAGAAAAATCTCACCACTGAAGAGTACATTTCTTTTATCCATAATACCAAGTTGAGGCTTTTTAAATTATTATAGTACCTATAGTTTAGAAAACAGTATTTATACTCACTTTATTTCTTTTAGTTTTGATCCTTGAGAAACAAATGTAAAAACCTCTCTTTTTTTCTTCTGAAGGATGAATTTAAGTACTCTGTGGACAATGTCCATCTCTTGGGATACAGCCTTGGAGCCCACGCTGCTGGCGTTGCTGGGAGTCGGACCAATACGAAGGTCAGCAGAATTACAGGTAATTGTACTTCTGTTCATCTTATCTCAGGAGTCCAGGTGGTTGACCTTCTGGAGCCACATGTGCGTTGCTCCTCTGGGGAATGTGCTGGACATGATTATCTCATGGAGTAAGACAGAGGGGCACACTCTCCAGGGCTCACCAGGTACTGGCTGTAGCACTGGAAGGGGACCAGAATGCTCATGTTTCCCTCCTACCTCTCTTCTATGCCCTGGTCGTGGGTTGCACATAATTTGTCCCCTGTCACATCAGGACTAGGGGAAATGAAACCCCTAAGGCCACCTGGAAAGAAAACAGTTGTCTGGGCAGTAGTAATAGAGGGTTTGGGACAAAGTGAGAAAGATAAATGGTAGATGGATAGATGGATAGACAGACAGACAAAGACCCCACCACTATCTGAAGGTCTCATTAGATTCAAAAACAATTTACAAAAGAACATCAAGTCACTGTGGGTAAAAAGCACTATATAGTGATCATTTCAGACACTAAAATTCCATTTCAGAAGAGCCAAGCTAGGCATGGCGTTATACACCTGTAACCTCAGCAGCTGGGGAGACTGAGGCAGGAGGATTGCAAATTCAAGGCCAGTTTTGGCCATTTAGTAAGACCTGTCTCAGAATAAAATGAAAAGAACAGGGGTTATTGGTCTATGGCAGAGTGCTTGCTTAGTATTCATGAAGCCCTGGATTTAATTCTAAGTGTGGAAGAAAAAAAAAAAAACAGACCAACCCTACTTTTATGAGTTTCGTAGTATTGTAATTTAAAGATCCAGTAACTATGGACTTAGCAGCTCACAAGAATCTAAAGTCTAAGTGGCTGCTACCTAGATTCAAACAATGAGCACCAGAACGCCAACGTATACCACAAAGAGGAAGTAAAAACAAAGCAGTCTTAAAAATCTCATTTTGCCCCTATCAAGGCCTGGATCCAGCCGGACCTAACTTTGAGTATGCAGAAGCTACCAGTCGCCTTTCTCCTGATGATGCACAATTCGTGGATGTCTTACACACATTCACCAGAGGATCACCAGGCCGAAGTATTGGAATCCAGAAACCAGTGGGGCATGTTGACATTTACCCCAATGGAGGCTCTTTTCAACCCGGTTGCAACATTCAGGATGCTCTCCGTGTGATTTCCCAGAAGGGTTTTGGAGGTAAATGTGGTTTGAAGTCACATAAGTGTGGTTTTGTTCTTAATCTTCAATCATGCAGTGTTCTACGTAGTACTACCCAAGAGTGTAGTTTTAATGTAAGTATCTGGGGATGGATACGTAGCTCAGTGCTAGAACACTTGGCTTGTATGCACAAGGCCCTGGTTAAGTACTGGAAAACCCTGCTGGCCTCTGTCATAACATCGCACAATGTTATCTGATATGCATTTTTATACTTTGAATATATTTTCAAAGATCATGGAGTGAACTTGAATTTTTCTGAAAGTGTAGGAGGTGTTAGTCCAATTTTAAAAAATCTTTTTAAGAGACAGGTAAATCACAAAGAAATCACTACCCCCTACAATAAATCTCTCACAATTTTAGGAAGAAAAATAACTTACCATTAGCTTAATATTTGCTTCAGTAATAATGTTAGCTTGTGACAAATTTATGATTTCTAGGGGCCGTTTGCAGATACTGCAATCTAATGTGGTCACTATGCTCAGTGGTTGTAGAATTTAGAGCTCTATTTTTAAGCATTATGAAATCTTACGGCAATAAATCTATTTTTAGGACATTGCTAATTATTTCTATAATTTATTTGATGTAAAATTCATCAGCAAGGGCATGACCCTCAATTATCCATAAATATGTGTGTGTATAAAGCACTGGTCATTTAACAATTATACCTTTTATAATATGGTTTCTAGCTGTAACTTTCTAGAAATTTTTACAACTGTAGACACGTTCAAAAAAAAAAAAAAAAAGGACACAATAAACTGCAGGGAACTACCCCCACCCTGATATATCAAATTTTGGCTTTATAAATATACTAGAAGAAAAAGTCAGAAATTCCCTGAAAGCTTGCATCTTTGGCATTCTTGGAGGTAGGTAAGCAGCTATTAACACAATGCTTCCTAAAATAAGATCTATAATCTTAGATGCATAAAAACAGATCTTGGGGTCATTTTCTTCTAACCCCATATCTGACCTACTTTAGATGTGAGAACTGAAGCATCTATTGTGACTTCACCAGAATTGACATTCCCATTTTGTCTCTTTTTCTCAAGATATGGACCAACTAGTGAAGTGCTCCCATGAGCGCTCCATTCATCTCTTCATTGATTCCCTGTTGAATGAAGAGAACCCAAGTAAGGCTTACAGGTGCAACTCCAAAGAGGCCTTTGAAAAAGGGCTCTGCCTGAGTTGCAGAAAGAACCGTTGTAACAACGTGGGTTACGAGATCAACAAGGTCAGAGCCAAAAGAAGCAGCAAGATGTACCTGAAGACTCGCTCACAGATGCCCTACAAAGGTAGGCTGGAGAAAGGGCAGGTGGTGAGCTCTGTTTTTATTATGCATGCTGCATTGCACGCGCTGATTCTGTCCACTGGAACAGAATCTATGAAGTGGTGTTGCTAAATCCTGCATCTTTGCTTGCATTTCTGTTGATACAGAGGGAGCTACCTTGGTCTGTTTGTTGACGTTCCATATTCCCACTGCCAGTAAGACTTCGGTGCTCAGTGGGATTCCTCTGTAACTTTAAACATTACCATGAGCCTGCCTGTCTGTACTGGGCTCAGAGCTAATTTGGAACTATCACCCTGAAGTCAGCAAACCACAATCCTTGGGCCAAATCTAGCCTACCACCTGCTCTTATAAATAAGGTTTCTGAGAACGTAGCCACTCACATTCATTTCTGTGCTACCTAAGGCTTCTTTCAGTCCAGCAGCTTAGAGTTGAGCAGTTGAGACTAACATGTTATGGCCCACAGAGCCTAGAATATTCACTCTGGCCCTATTTAGAAAATGTAAACTTCTAAAGTTCACTTTACAGGAGGGCAAAGGCCTTCTGTATTTAAAAATTTAACTCTATGTGAGAGAAAAGAGTAAATCAAACCTGGCAAGATATGTCCATTTTGCCATGAACTTGTTTCCCACTTGAATTTCAAGCTTAACCTCTTCCTTAGAGCAAGACCTAAAGGAATGGAGGAGAAACTGGAGAGGGAGAGGTAAATAATTTCAGTAAGCCTGGCTTCTGTGGAGACCTGGTAGTAGCCTGAGGGAAGGACAGATATTAAAGAGAGCTTCCTGGAATAAAATATATCTGCCAGCTGTGCCAGCTTGTAAGGCGGTTTGCTGGACTCTGGAAGTGCATTTGGTGGTATAGAAATGGGAGCATCTGTCCTTTAGGTAATGAGGAAGCCCTCAATTTGGCTGTCTCTTCAGAGTGGGGGTATGTGCATGAGGTATGGGGGAGGATCCCTTGTCCCACATCCTCACCTCTGTGCTCAGAGCTGTCAGCATGCCCTGTCCCCTGGAGCACCTGGGAACCCGCAGCCTCTCTTGCTGTGGTCTTTGCTGCCAGAAAGAACTCTGCTCACTCCTAAACTTGACTTCCCTTTACTTTTTAGTAGCTGAGGTTTAGTTTTATTTTTCTGTTTTTGGGACATGGCTGGTTATTCTTATTACAAAAAGAAATGTAGCCAAACAAAACAGAGATTGTTACCAAAAGCTCACAGGACAAAAATTTTTTGATTTTTTTCATTAGAATAAATTTTGAAATAGCATTAAAATATAGTTTGCCATATTGTAAAACCATTCCTGTGAAGAAATCTGCATCCTAGCTTAAAAGAAAGTGCATGTAATAGACAGCAGCCCAAATAAGAAAAAAATGACCAAAATGGACCAAAAATTAGATATAGAGGGAAAAAGCATCATAATATTTCTCCCCATCACAGTAGCTGTGTTTTAGGCTGCTGCCTTCCTATCCTGGAAACCTCTCCCCAGTGCAGTTTGCTCAGGGTATGGAACAGAGAAGTAGAAAGAAGATGTAGAAATTCAAGTTCCTGGTTCCACAGGTTGTTTCTAAACCAAAACTCTGAAAACTGACGTTCAAGACAATCCTCATGGCCTTGTGACCTGGGTCAGTGAAATGAGTTTTGTTGTAGCCCATGTGTGTCTTCCTGTGCTACATGGGTGTAAAAGAAAGTGGATGTGACCCTCTGACCTGTAGGAACTGGCAGGCAAGGGAGGTGGACATAACCATGAAGTGAGAAGCAGCAAGAGCATAGTCTCACTCAGTGATACAGTAAGAAATGTCAAAGAGGCTTGGTGCAGGTGTTAGGGGCAAGGTGGTCAAGGCAGGTGGCAGTCACAGAGAAAGCTTTCCTGGGGTTTTGGGCTTCTGATTTGCCTTCCCTACTACTGCAGTCTGGGACTGCCTGGAAATTCAGATACACTTGGGTTGCCACACTTTTCGGAAGGGAGTAGCATTCAAGCCTTGTCTTTCCTGTTTGGGTGCCAGTGAGCTATGTTCTGTGGGACCACAGTGCATGATTCTTTGGGGACTGAGTGTTTCCATGAAGACTAATCACTCTGTGCTCTGATTTCCTCCTTTCTAGTGTTCCATTACCAAGTAAAGATTTACTTTTCTGGGACTGAGACTACCACGTACACCAACCAGGCCTTTGAGATCTCTCTGTATGGCACGGTGGCCGAGAGTGAGAATATCCCCTTCACCCTGTGAGTACCTTGGGATTGTGCAGCATTCCCCGGTGGGCTGGCCATGGCCCTGCTTTGTGCTATGACCCCGGGCCTGAGAAACAGAAGTGGACTTGGACACCTAGAGAATGAGTCTCTAGTTTAAGAAATTGAAATTTCAAAGCTAAGGCCTTTTCTGTATTTTATATTTCAGAAAACATTCTTCCAATGGGTCGTTTCATTTTCATTTAGCATACAGTTTTCTTTATCAGTTTATAGCTGCTTATTTCTTTTATACAAAGCCATAAAGTGAAGTCATTAAATTTCCTTAATAGGTTTGACTTTATAAATACTGATTACAGGAAGCCATTAGATAGACGCTAATATAATAAGCATAGAAGATTTATGTAGTAAAATGCCCGTGACAAAAGCTATCTTTACTATTGACTATGATATACAAAATTAAGACAACATCAATGACATACTTTGATAATTGTTAAATGAACAAATCCACTAAAATACCTAGTGTTGATGCAGTGGTGAGACAGTCCACTTTTCCATGCTAGATTTGTCGTTGATTGCTAACACATCCAAGTAAGGAAGGGAGAAAGACAGTAACTTCCCATAGATATAATATGCAATTACACAGAATTAATAATCTCTTTTTAAATATTTAGCCTAAAAAATGGTCAACAGCAGCACTCTGGGAGGCTGAATAAGGAGAACTGATTGCAAGCTTCAACCTAACCTGAGCTGCAGAGAGACTCAGAAAAAATCATACCCCCAAAAAATTAACAGTGCAGATTAGAGAGAAGGCCCTGAGTTCAGTCCTCAGAAACACACACACACACACACACACACACACACACACACACACACACCCTAGAAGTTTTAAAAAATATTTTAAAGTATGGCACATTTATTGCAGTGGTACATATAATAGCATAAATTAAAAACTGGCCTCTAACATTAAGACAATGGTTAAATGAATGGAGGCTTATCAAGTTATAGCTTCAGAAAACTAGATAAAAATTGCAGAAAAGTAAAAGATAGTATATAAAGAGAACAAAGAAAAACAGAAAATGGTATGTATATTTTGATGGTAATCAGTGGAAATAGATTCATATATCTGTACAAATTGAAGAGGAATACATGTAAATGAAAATGTCTGAATGATCAGCTAGCAGATTTTTTTCTCCAAAGAATTGTATTAAATAGTTCATGTCTTCTAAAGGATATTAAATGAGTGCAAATGCTTTTATAATATACTGAGTGTCTTTGACGTTGAGTAGTTTGCTGGATAGTTTTTGCATTTTAAAAAACTATCTCCCAAACAATAAAGCTGGGAGGACAAAGAAGATGAGAGAAGTCCATTTCTAGAATTAACCAAAGTTGTGGAATTGTTATTCAGGCCTGAAGTGTCCGCGAATAACACATACTCCTTCCTGATCTACACGGAAGTGGACATCGGGGAGCTCCTAATGCTGAAGCTGAAGTGGATCACTGAGTCCTACTTTAGCTGGTCAAGCTGGTGGGGCCGCCCTACCTTTACCATCGAAAAGATCAGAGTAAAAGCAGGAGAGACACAGAAAAAGTGAGTCAACCAATCTGGGCCACCCATTTTAGACAATAGTGTTATTGCTCAGGGATGGTATTTCAGGAGGTTCCACCTTTCGGTGAAATGTTAGCAAGCCTCATCTGTAGTACTGCATAACCTGGATCATTATGCCTGCTGTGTTTTAGGATTATTCTTTTATTATCACACTGGAGAAACAATGCAATATTTGGATTTTGGCTCATTTACCATATTGGAATATTTGCATAGATAGAATGAGATATCTGAGGGATATGACCCAAGTCTAAACATGAAATTCACTCCAGATTTACAGCTTGGAGAACCTGGAGGTTGCTATTAACCAGACACAGGATGTCAGGAGTTCGAGATCCTGTGTGATTAGTGATAGATACAGGAGCCAGTAGGAGCAGTGGAGGTCTTGGAGAGTCTGAAGGAACTCTCATAGGAGATGGAGGTACCCAGACCTTTATTATTTGTATACACCTTATGCACATAGCCTGAAGATAGTTTCCAGTACGTCTGCATTTGAACTGTAACACCCTCATATGAGATCAGGTGTGGTATTTTCCACTTGTGGTACCAGGTTGGTGTTCAAGTTTTCAACTGGGGACATTTTGGATTTCAGATTTTTATACCATCAATGCTCAAGCATTAGGATCTGTGCATTTCAAGAAATCAAAAATAATCCCTTAATTGATCACAGTCATTTGGAGGGACAGTTGGGATTAGAAATTAAAAATCTCAACATTCACTTAGCATTATTTTTTGCAAGCACAAAAGATTTAGGGAACAAATCTCAGAAATGTAACTTTGACATTTAAAGACAGAAATCAATCTCTTCAAGAAGGATGGAGTCAGAAAATCTCATCCTATCTCCTCAGATTTCCCCTCTGTCTATGAAGTAGATGGCACAGAAAATCTCCTAAGATTTAAAACTTATATGTTAAATGTGTGGGGATTTTGCAAACTGAAGTATGCTATCATCATTATGAAAAATAACTCTTTAAATTAGAATTGAGAAAATATTTCTCTTTCATCATTTGCTTTTATAGTATGCAAAGGCTGTGTAGAACCTTCGACCTCCAGCAGGGCCAGCTGAAGGCCTATTCCTTATCTGCTTCACTAATGAGGCCACAAAGAGGTGGTGAAGCTGGGCTTGCGTTATCCCTTGGCCAGAGCCTGGTGATTTTGAGGCTGTTCCAGGCTGTTTGCTCTCCTCCCTAGATTGGTTTGTATGCTCATTTGCTGCACTGGGTTAGGCTCTCAGATAACCCTCTAATTGAGATGTGGCCAGTGTTAGTTGTGGGGAATACCGACACAGTGTGCCAGTGTGATTATACAGGATCTGTGTAGCCCTGACAGCCAGCACTTTCTAGCATAGCTGTTCTTACTGTTCTATATGATATGTTCACATCTCTTTTCTTCCACAGGATCGTCTTCTGTTCCAGGGAGAAAGTGTCGAAGCTGCAGAAGGGAAAAGAGGCTCCAGTGTTCGTGAAATGCCATGACAAGTCTCTGAACAAGAAGTCTGGCTGGTGAGCATTTTGGACCAGAAGTCTCTGAGCCCCTGCAGAAGGCAGCTTCACACTCTGCTCTTCACCTATAGCCAGTGGTACCAACCTCCAGGCTACCTGCTTTAGCTTGTCTGCTTTCATAGTAGATGGGCCCATTTGCTTTTTTTTTTTTTTTTTTTTTTTGCAATACTGCTATTTTCCTCTTTGTCCTGACCTTTATTCCCAGAGCATATTTTAGTATCTACTTTACTCCTCATATTATCCACAAATATCCCCTTTTTCTTTTTCCATTCCTGCATCTCTCTTCCTATTGGAGGTGTTGTCTATAGAGCAGGTACCATAGGGTAGGTATTCGCCACCACAGCCATGGCAACCGCCCAAGGATAAAAATATCTCATCACACCAGCTTAAGCCACATAATCTGATTCTCCAAGTTCGAGCAGACTCTAGGATGTAGAATCAAAGAGGCAGGCCCCCAAACCTACCTCCAGACCACTAAAATGAGGAACTAGTGGCATGAGAGTGTGGGGGACCCTTCTTTCTCTCTCAGAACAACCTTGATTCTTTTCTACCTGACCTTTAAGGCTAATCCCCAGGGCAGCTGTCAGAGGAATCTTTCCAGGACGTCAGTGCTAAGTGGAGACCAGGCATGTGACCTTCTCCATCCCTGCCTGAGTTCTCTATGCCATTTTCATTCCTCCACTGGTCCCCCACCAAGTGCCAAGTGCCTGATTAGCAGTTACATGTATAAAGAGGAAAAATATGAGACCATATCACTCAAGCCAGTGACAATGGCAAAGACTGGCCACAGAGCCATCTCATCTGCAAACAGAAGAAGCAAATACTTTTGCTTCAACTTTTCCTCTTACAGTTTTAGACAACAGTATGGTAAGAATTGCCTCTCCAGAAAATTTAAAGACCCAACATGGAATATCTCTATTTACATTTTTACTTTATATTATATCTGTGTATGCTCCTTATGAGTAGATTAGAAGAAAGAGACAAAAAGAAAATAAAATTACTATAATCCTAAGACTATGGTCAAGTCCAACTAGCATTTCATTGATCTTTTTTCATACCATATATGTACATAATGTTTTTCATCTTCTTTTTACTTTAAAAAGCAAAATAGAAAAAAAGGATAGAAATAGCACAGAATTTCAGAAAAGAAAAAAAAGTAGGGAATTAACACTAGATAATATATTGCACACTGTTACCTCAAAACTAGTAGTTCAGGTCACAAAATCTAGATACAAAAGTGATCAGTCAAACAATGACAGCACAAATTGCTCTTTTTGATGAACTATGAGAGATTAGTGGTATAGTTATATATCTTGCATGTATATACACACATAAACTTATATATTTTTACCAACATACATATAGTCTTTTTCTTTCTTCTTTTTTCCTTTCCCCTATCTTAGTAGTTTTGTTCTTTTAAGTACTTTCTTTCTCTTTCATGATTACAATATATATTGTACATTTTGGATTGGAAACATTCAAAATGCCCACCAACCATAGAATGGATGAAAAAGCTGTGGTATTTTTATGCAGTGGAATATTACTCAGCTATAAAAAGGATGATCTTGAGGCTTTTATGGGTATACAGAGGCAACTTAAGACTATATTCATAAGTGAGATAAATTAGACTCACATTTGTAAATATTGTACTGTCTTGTGTAAAAATAAATAATAATAATAAAGACTGAAAGAGTAATAAGATCCAATATGTACAATAGATATTTTTCATTGTTTATAAAAGGAGAATTTTGTAAAAGGAGATGAATACTCTATTAATGACAAGGTGGAGTTATCTGGATAACTTGATGCTGAAAAGAGTTGGTACTGAGACAGAGAGAATAATCCAAGTCTTATGGAAATGGACATTTTTTCTTCTAAAAGGCTCATTACCTCGTTTTCATTCACCACAAACATGAGATAATTTCACATTTGCTTCAGTTCTTAGAAAAATATTTTCATATGAACATTTAGAAAAAGCATTTAAATTACACACAAATAACATACACCTCCACCTTCTCCCCAAAATGTGCAATTTTAAATTCATATGTGAATGTAAAATCAAAGCCAGGGCTGGGAATTTAGCTCAGCAACATAAGTACCTGCCTGGCAAGCATGAGGTCATGAGTTCGATTCCCAGTACCAAAAAATTAAAATTAAAAAAATAAAAACAAAGCCTCACAAATCAGGAAAGAACTCCAGCTCTTTACAATCCCCCCTTGGTGATAGTATTTATATAAATTGCCAGAATTTGACAGAGAAAGTCTCAAGATGCACCTTTGTCCGATTATAGGATTACTGACACAGTAGTCAGTGTTATTAAAACTCCTAGTTTACCTAGGAGATGACTATGAATCAGCTTAATAATCTTCTGGGGTTTCCACTGTGATCCAAATTCAGTTAAACAAAAGGCTTTTTCTCTGGCATCTTCTGATAACTCCTCAGAAGTCTCATATCATAAGAAAAGAATGCAACTGGTCTTTCGCTGGGTAATTTGGGAAGTAGGAGATCTCCCTAAGTGTTGAAGTCACTTCTCTCTGGTCTCTGAAAATGACCCCCTTCTTAGGACTTGACTACATAAATGTTAGTGTCTCTGTTATTCCCAGGGGTCTCCCACAGCCTCTAGCCCATTATCGACTTCTCCCTTGGGTCCGTTCTTACGACATTGGCTCCAAATTTCCGGTTGAATTCTTTTTATTATCCTTAAAATGGTGGTGAGGGGAAGGGATTGTAAAACACTAAGCAGATATTTAATTGCCTCCTTCTGTTTTTTTTCTCAGACACCGGGCAAATATACAGAAAGAAGATTAGTACAGAAGCTCTGTGAAGAACAAAATGAATTTTACAAAAGATGTTCAGTGCTTTGGGTGCTTAAAAGTGAATTTTCCTGAGTATTAATCCCAGCTATCTCCTGCTTAGTTCAATGAGGAGAATCTCAAATACTAAAAAGTGACTAATTCAATTCAAGGGCTCTAGTGGGTAAACTGCACATCCTCCAGCATTAAAAGATGGTAAATGCGAAAAGCTCCGTGTTTTGTCTTTTGAGGGAACAAAAAATTGTGCCCATAGTAAATATGGCTTCTCCATGTGGCTGGTTTAGTATTGGTCAAAAATTAGTTAGAACCTCTTATTTTAATTAAATTCTAAGTTTGGGAACTGAAGCTGTCTCCAAGTTTTCCTCAAGTCTGAGTATAGAAAGTGGTTTTCTGTAGCATGACTCAGATCCATTTATTTAGCAAAGAAAATATCTGATCTCTTCAAATGGTTCTCTTGCCACTGGTATGTGCCGGAGTTAACCAGAGCAGGTGCTGAGGAGAGAGGAAGAGAGGATGATAAAGTCCTGAGCTTCGGTCCCCTTGACCTGCATCCTGACAAAGTTACAGGCGATTTTACTGTCTAACCTTTCCATTCCCTCTTTTTTTTTCCTTTGTCTTTTTATTATATTTTAACAATGGTATCTGGATAGATGTTGAAAATGAACCTGTATATCCTCAGCAGACACGTAATTTGGATGGTAAAAAAGAAAATGATCATATATGTATTTTTGGATATTTTAAATCATCTACATCTAATTTATTATCTGATACCTGCACCATGCAAAGTACAAATTTTAGACAAAAACTGTTGTTACTAAGTGAAAAAAAATTCTTCCTGGTATCTATGCATAAGCAATGCTTATAAACCATTGAGTGTGAGGAAGGGGATCCTTGGCTGCCTTTGTCACAAGACGTGTCAGCCAGGCTGTTATTATTTCTAACAATTAATCAAGAGTAGGTGAACAATTTTTTGTAAGCTAGGCCTCATATTTTCAGAATGCCTTTCTATATATTGATATAAAATGATAAAGAAGCATACGGCTCAAAGGTTATTACTGGGAACCCCACAGTGAGAGTGTGTGGGTGTCGGAATGCATACTCACATATGAAACCCCACATGTATACCTGCATTCAGCATGATTTGGAACATACGCCATCAAGGGATGTATTGGAACATATTGGAGTAGAAATGATTCCAGATGTGCTAGAACATCAGCCCTTTATTGGAGTCCTCTATGTAATACAGAACAGATGCTGTGATTAACTCCATCAGACTTGGAATGAATTGGCTCTAACAATAAAATGATGTATGATTTGTCACTGGCACCGCCCTTTATTACTAATTCATTGATTTTTCTGGATTTGGGTTTTGATTAAAGGTGCATAAACAAAAAATTTGGCAAATCAGTGCCTGGCACTGGGAACTCTAGCTTGTATAGCTTTTGTTTTATATATATAGTGATATATATATCAATGATGCTTTGGCCTTATATTTTATTTATTAGCTGTAAATATATGTGTGGATGCATAAGGAAGCCTGTACTTATTGGAAAATTTGTAATGTATCTGCATTGATTGCTGTGTGGTGCTTTGTATGTTTCTTATCGGTGATGGTCTCACTGAACCAACTTAATCTTATGAAATAATACAATGAAATGGGAGGCTTTTTTAAAAAAGAGACTTACCTATGTCAAGAATTTAAATCTACTTTTAATAAAATTCACAGCATTTTATTACAGCACCAAGTAATTATTTTGTATCATTTTAGTCACCTAGAAGATGTAAATTTATTCTTAGGGCAGATTCATCCAGCTGGTATTGATTAAGTAACCAATATACTTTGTAAGCAATATAGCTTTGAAGAATTATAGTCTACATTTTATGTTTTTAGATTCCTATAAAGCAGGGACCAGGGATTCAGTTCAACTGCACAAGCACCTGCCTGGCAAGCATGAGGTTGCAAATTTGATTCCCGGTACAAAAAAAAAAAAGTTTTTCACAGCCTTAGATATTCTTTAAGATAACTATAATGGAAAGTGATACAGATTTTTTTCTGAATAAAATGCATGAGATTTTCCTTGTTTTCCCACAAGTAAAGTATTAGGTTAATAATAAAATCTCTCTGGCCACATTTTCTTGGTTCTGTGGTACCACTATCAGTGGCACTTGTGCAGTAAAAGGAACTATGTGGCATAGGAAGGTTTATGCTCTAGGACTTTACATTGGGTTGCTTTAATAATTAAAAGGAATAGTAATCCATTCATGCCACTAAGCAGGGAATTGCTTCTTAAGACAGCTATGAAATATTTAGTCCAAATAACAGCTGTTCCAGGGCACTGACCCAAACTTTTATCATCAGTTAAGATAAGGTCTTGTGGGGCTGGGAATGGTGGGCCAGTTGACATAATCAAAGGGACAGTTTTCATGGAGAAATAGGAGCTGTGTGTCATGGATGGGCATGTAAGCTGGTCAGCCACTGGGGAAAACAGTTTGACAGGTCTTTTCTTTTTGAAAAATTAAGCATAGCGCTTACCCTATGATCTAGTTCTTCCCCTACTTCATATAGACCCAAGAGCAATGAAGATATAAATCCACAGAGATTGCTATATAAATGTGCACAGCAGTATTAATCATAATAACCTCAGCCCCATTATGTACCCTGGATACAATCCAACCATTTAGCAACAACCAACACAAGAAGTAAAATGTAGTTTATTCCCCCAGTGGGATAGTATTTGGAAGTAAAAAGAATAAACAATACATAATATATTAACCAGTGTTAATTTCCTATTATTTTGTTTTGGAATTCTGTATCACCATTTGTAGTCTTTTCATTAAAAAAGAACAAGCTGTTGATGCATCACAAAACTTTTTATCATGTGAGAGAAGCCAAAGCAAAAACAAAACAAAAAAACAATCCCTTCTAAAAAACCCTACCTACTGTCCAGTTCCACATACAAAGAATTTCCAGAAAATGCAAATTTTGAGGAGAAACAAAATAGATGAGTGGATTCCTGAGCCTGGCAGTTGGAAAACAACTGGTGACAAAGGGACATGGAAGGTCTTTTAGAGATGATGGAAATTAGATGACGGTGATGGTTGCATGACTCTCAATTTGCTAAAAATCATGGATTATATAATGTAAAGAGGCGAGTTTTGAGGCTGATTTTACCTCAGTAAGGCTCTTGGAAATGCATGGAAATCAACCTGTAGGAATAAGCCACTAAGCCAGGAATCTGCAGGTTTATCCAGCACTGGTAACTGTGAATTTCTCTACCCCAGGGGTCCAGCACATGGCAGTTTGCTGGGAGTGTTACCACAACCTCACTGTATTTAAAATATCTTATTTGTCCCTATCTCAACAGTAGGCTTATTTGTGAAGCATTTCCCGTCCTCTGGAAAGTTAATTACACAGCCAGTTGTTCTCCCAATCTCCCTGGTAAACTTGTACTACAATCAGCATATGATTAAATGAACATTTTTGTCAGTGCAGTATCAGCAGACATCACCACATATAGCAAAGTACTTCTTTTAGTAAATATGACAAGCACAAAGAGATTAAGTCACTGGCTTGATGCTGCAGAGTTTGTTAATAACACACGAAACTAGTCTTCCTTTCTAATAACTCACAGTCTCCTACTTGGTTTATATCTCCTAAACACAGTAAAAATTTCCCGCCTAATTATGAGTTTGCTTCATATACAAACAATGAAGCAAGTAGAATGATGGATCGACTGTCGGAAGATATATGCCTTAAAATTCAACAAATTTGCCTCTGTCTCCTGTCATTCCCTGTGTGACTAGTAGCCCACTATACAAGATTTCGAGGCTTTCCAAGAAGTTCACTCTGCACCGTGGATTCTGACTGATTCACCACATCTCAGATCTTTATTTCATCATCATGCTGCCCTAGATAGGTGAGCTTATGGTCTGCAGACCAGACGTATGTAGAGCAATCAGGAAGTGGAGTAACCAGCTGCCAAGTGGTGTCAGTGATCTGTACCTCCTGGTGATCTCTCCCTGACCCCAGTCCTCACAGCATCATCTGTGCATACAAAATGTGGCTTCTCCTTCCCCAAATGAGGCTATGAAGGGCAGCAGTTCCCACAGTGGTGATTCGCATGTTGTCTTGAATCACTTAGTGGAGAGAAGCCATGTGCGGGCACAGACCTGGAGCCACTAAGCTGCGCCAACCACTTAAGTGAGCTTGGAGATGGCTCTTTCCGACTCTGTAAAGCTGCAGGGAAGGAGACCATGGCCCCCAGCTCAGAGGTGACCTCAGTAAGACCATGACCCATCTGAGCAAAGTCTCCAAGAGTCTCACCCAGTGTCAGGCACTGGGACACAGTAAAGTGTGGATTATTTTCACTGGGGGGAATTTGTTACACAGCTAGATGACTAAAATGCAGTTTGCTTTGCCAAACAGTATCCTCAAATGTTTCTTATAGAGAAAAATTTTAGAAAACCATATTCTAAAAAAAATTATGGAAGGTTACACTTTGAAATACCCCCCTCTTTCTGTATCTTTCATTCAGTAAGAGGAAAGATAACTGATAACCAGCTCCCTGGCTTTTATTTTTGTAACTATTCATTTTTATGTTTATATGTAGCATGGTTCTTCCACAAAATATAATTATAAATGATAAATAAGACTCAGGTTTCCATCCCAGTGAGAGTTGGGGCTAAGAATAACCAACTAACTTACGGTGTAAAATCCTTTCTTTCTTCCTGTTAGCTTTACCATTCAAAAAATGAGTTCCAAGAAATGCTGGTGATCTGGAAGTTCCTTGTGTCTGAATCGGTGCCCCTCTCCTGATCATCATAGCCCTTACCCAGTAGCATCTTCATTGCTGGGCACATTGCTGAGTAGTTTCCTCTCTAGCAGGGCAGGCCCACAGTGACTCGCACACTGAAGTCCTCAATTCCCAGGCTGGGAGTTTCCTGAAGATCCAGGGGGAGTCCTCATGAGATCCACATGCAGGGCTGGGGAAAGAGACGTGAAAGTCAGTCATAAAGAGCTTGTCTCATAAAGAGCTAGCTTTGCTTAGTGAGTATCTTCCCATGGTCCAGATACTGTGCTGGGTGTGGTAAATATTCTGTTTTGAATAACCTGGTTGATTCGAAGATGAGCAACAACCCAAAGAAAAGCTGAGCTTGGCGGAGGCTCTTGGCTACCAAGAGATATGTTAAGTGTTTTTTGGCGGGGGGACACCAGTGCTGGCTCAGAGAGCATTTAAGATAATCACTGCCAGTGGT